TTATGTAAAGGTACAATTCCCAATGAGAAATGTAATTGTGTTGTATACCTACAATGTACCAATAAAAGAATTTAATAAAAAAAATTTTTTAAAAAGTGAATCTGCCTCTGACTCAGAGCTCATTGCTGCGACATAAATAACATTACCATGGAGTAATTGAATTTCACTCTTATTGAGGAGTCAAGAAAGGGGGTAAAAACATTGTTAGTGAACACTGTAGTCTACATGGATTTTTTCTGTATTCTTCCCATTGGCTCAGTGATTATAGTAAATTTCTAAAGCAAAGGTAAAACTAGAATCAAACTTTGTGATAAATAGTAGGATTTTGCATATACCCACATTGCTATAAGCCAACATAAGGCCAGAGGTGCAGGGGTCTAGGAGTGGTGACAACTCCATTCATCCATTAGAATGTAAGAGAACAGGGTTTTTAACTTTCAAACAAATTTTGTTTATTTTGGTTTTGGGTTTTTAAATTGAGCACTCTATCTGGTTTGATACAAATTCGGAAATGTTTTTAAAACAAGGTACTTCTAGCCAACAATGTTGAGGCATATCTATATTATATCATAAAGTCTTCTTTTTAAAGAAAGTTCTTTACTGATATGGATTTCCAAGATAATAAGTTAAAAAGTTATAAAAAGAAATATCTGCATAACTATAAACTTACTATTCTATCCTAGAACCTAGCTCATGAATGAGTTTTTCTTTTACTCTATGGCTCAGTGTCCTCAAGAAAAAAAATGTAACACACAATGCATGACTTGGAGCCCAGTGGGAGAGAAGACACTAGAAAGAAATATTTGTCTAATACTACACACACACACACACACACACGCACACACATGGGAATTTGTTGTTGTCTAAGGGAGGAAGATTTTTGTTTTTTCCACTTTTATATTCTAAATTTTTAAGAGATCTAAGATTAGTAGCATAACCTCAGTATTATACTATACAAGAAATGATATCATGTCTGACTCTGGCCTCGAAATTAGGGAAAAGTGGTGCATATATGCCTCTTCCTAGCCAGGATGTGAAGCCCGTATGAATTGAGATTCTTCTCTTTTTCATTCAATCTACAAGGTTGTGACTAGGAGTAAGTTTCCCTGGGTATCAGGCATATTAAAAAGAACAGTAAAATAGGACACACATGTATAAATACCGAATAGTTCCTCTGGTGTGAAAAACTAAAAATGTAAATAAGGATTGAAATGTATAGTTGATATTGTGAAATAGGAAGAAAATGTCTAAAGGAGTAGGGGAAGTGGGATGGGTAGGGAAAAGGAAAGAAGGGAAAAGAAAAAATATGAGGAAAGGAAAAACATGGAAACAAAGTCTTTGTAAGTAGGGAAGGGTGGAGGGGGTGAAGGTAGGGCAGGAGAATGGGGAAAAATTAAGAACCAAAATACATCATGTAAAGGTATGAGATCCCAATGATGAATGTAACTGTACTGTATACCTAAAATGTACCAATAAACTTAATGGAAAAAAAATGAACAGTAGTTAACATTTTAACATCTGTGCTATCAATTATTTTCTTGACATAATCTAATTGGAGAGAAAAAGATATGTACAACAAAATCCAAATAAAGTCCACATGGTTTAAAGTTGATTATTTGGGCTGATTTTTTTCAAGCAGAAAAATTGATATTATTATTGGTTATGGTTATATTTTTAGTAAATACATAAAATAATTGCATGACTCACAAATAAATTCATGACATTATCTTCCTCTGAAGATGAAGAAGTATGATACTGGAAAATGGATTTACTATCTATAATCTGATTATGTACAACTATAACTCTATATCTAAAGCACTCATGCCGAAATACTGACATTTGTAAATTTGGGGTGGAGGTAAACAAATGTTTATCTTATATTTTATTTTTTTTCACCAAAACAATTTTTATTTTCAGTGTGGATATGTACACAGGCATGACACAGGTTTGGATTCATTAATTTGTCTTATATTTTATACTTTCTTATATTTTGTTATAATTTTAAAATAAATAACAGAATGCCAAAAATTTAAAATATCTTTATAACTGGCATTTTATTACATTTTCAAAATTGGACAGATCTAGTTAGTATAAAATACATGAAGACTTATGGCATCTGAATAGTATAATCAAAAAGCTTGATAACAAAGACAACCTAGAACTCTCTCACACAAACTATATATTCCTTCTTAACAAATTCTTGAATAAACTAATTGTCACTGAAAAAATTAGACAATTAATTAAATATCTATTATCAAAAGTGTCACTAGGATTAAACTGTTTTATAGCTTCTTACTAGATAATTTTTAAAGAACAAAAATTCTAATGTTAAATTATTTCAGTTCATGGGAAAAGATTGAAAACTCATCAAGTCATATTTTTTAAAGCTGGCACAACTTTAATAACAAAACTTGATATACAGAGCATAAGAAAAAATATATAATTCCAATTTGGAATTCAAATAAAATAATTCTAAATGAAATATTGGTAAATAAAATCTAGGAATGTAACAAATAATTATTTCACCCTGACCAAGTAGAGTTTATTTCATAAATACATGTTTGGTTCAACATCAAATACCTACCATCCTAATTCATTACATTAACAAATTAAAGGGAAAGAAAAATCATATATTTTAACAAAAATAGCTGTGAAAAGACATTTGATAAAATCCAGGAGCCACTTCTAATAACATTAGTATGTAAAACAGGAAGAGTAGAAACTTCTAAACATGTTAATGGCTATTTATCAGTAACCAACAGCAAATATCACACCAGTATGAAATTCTAAAAACATTTACATAAAAAATAAAAATAGGACAGGTATGTGTGTCATTATTGTTATACAACACTGTTCTGGAGAAACCAGCTATATAATAATAATCAGTATAAACATTAGAAGAAATAAAAAAATCTCTATTTACATGTGAAATGATTACCTATCTAGAAAATCCAAAATATTCTACTTTAAAAGTCTACTGTACTTTAGGATTAAAAAAAAAATCACTGGATAAAAGATAAAAATATAAATTCCTGTAGGTTACTTTAATTACCCACAATAACAAGTTACAAATGAGGAAGAAAAACTGTCCAATTCATAATGTTATAATTTGATATGTATAAAAAATACTTACAAAATAACTTCAGGTAGATGATGTGAAGCATATTATTAAAACAAGAGTAAAATTTTCAAAAACTCTTGAATGTTAAAGCTTAATATTATTTAAAAAATCCTTCAAAGGGGAATGCAGAAATGTAATACAACTCTAATTAAGACATCAGACTCTTTTTAAATGTCAAATATATTTCAAATTTTCATATGTCAAGGACAAATTATATGATTAAAAAATGGTAAGACTTGCTTTACCAGATTCTAAATATCTGTGGTCTGCCATTATAATTGCCATTATAATTACATCTATGTCATAGTGGCTCAAATATTTCAAAACTGGTAATCAGATATCTAGTGAATGTAAACAAAATGTGTAGTTGGACTCTATTTTATATCATGGAAAAAATAAATTTCAGACAGATCAAACATTTTAACATTAAAAACAATAAAATAACTAGAAAAATGTAGGTGAAAATTTGTATGACAAGTTAGGGCCAGCCACTTGAAAAAGACACAAAACCAAAAAAAAAAAAATTATAAAAAAAGTCTGCCTAAAATTTTTTTAAATTGTAAAGTAAAATATGTCATCAATAAAGTCAAGATTAATGATATAATAAAAAATCATAATGAGTTACAAATGATTAACTGGACTTTATGATAGGAATTTCTACAAATTTATTAAGAAAAAAAATCAACAATTGAATAGATCAATGAACAAAGGATATAATTGTGAAATTACAAAAGAGAAATGACCTGATAGCAAAACAAATACTCATTGAAATCTGGTAAATGCCAATTAAAGTGACAAGTAATGCAATGTAATTCTTCACCTTTCAGATTTTCAAGCATTAAAGACTTGTAGAAGATACTGGAAATGGGGACTTTCATTTTGAATATTCTAGTACTCTTGTAATATTTCTTAAAATTAAACATATGCCTATTTAGCATTTCTGAGAATCCAACTTAGAAAAATAAAAGCACCAATATATTTTGGCAAAGTTACAATAAAAAGGAAATAAATAACCATTAATAACAGAATGTTGAATGCTTTTTTGGCATCTCTACATATACTCTGTATATGTAGCAGGGGATTAAGAGTGAGAGGTGGTGGCAGAGACAGAAAGATTGTATCTACTAGTCTGGAAGGATGTCATGTATGCAAAGTGGGTAAAGCAATTAAATAAATGCACATAACTTGTCATTTTTACAGAAACTACTGTAACAAACCTTGAGGACAGAGAAAAGAAGGAAGGACACAGGTCATATTTTCAACACTTGTTACCTGGGAAGAAGAAAGAGGGAAGTAAAAAGTGGGGGAAGAAGGACATGGTGGGGTTGATCTGCTTTTGCATTGTTCCAATGGTTGCACTTTATTTTTCTATTAATGCCCAATTAAAATTTTCAATTACAGAATAAATATCAAAATTATTTAGTACCTTGGGGCAAAATTGTGGAGCCGGACAATGTAAAATTTGGAGGCACAATAATATTTACCCACTTTCCTGAATTTTTGATGTCAAAACTATTCTCAAAGTTTACAATTATGAGAACACAAAATATTTTACATCTAACTGCTCCACATCTTTTGCAAAAAGCACAATGAACTTACGGAGATTTCACCAAACCATAGACATAAATGTGAATATCATCATCAAACTTGATAAAGTAGACAGACGGCTTGGCCACCACTTGATGGATGAAAATGCCAGTTCTCTTGGACCCATCCTCTTTGGCATGCTCCACCTGCTTGCCCACGAGGCTGTCGACCACTTCTCCAGGCTCCCGTTCTGCTGTAGGAAAATAGTAGCTGGAATCTGGAATGATGCGAAGGTCACCATCTTTATAGTCATCCAGCAAAGTGTACATATAGAGGACCGGATCTTTCTCATAGGTGATATAAAACCAAGTATCCATCACGGGGGCTCGCGCCAGCACCATGCCCTTCCATTCATCTTTTGTACCGTGCTCGCCTTCAAACACATGCCCCACTGCCTTCCCAATCAAGGAATCTGCCAAGCGTGAATCAATACGAGGAGCTGGCACTCTCTCGGGAAGAATCTCTAGCGCTAAAACTCTCTTATCTCGGTGTAGCTCTAGTCCATACACACTATCTTTGCCATCATATTTAATGATGTAGAGTGTGGGCTTCACAGAAACCTGCTCGAGCACAGTGCCCTTCCACTGCTCCACCGGCTCATTGCCTTCTTTCCAGCCGTGTTGAATGCGGCAGCCCACTATGTTCCTACAAGTGAGGAAAGTGGGCTTGCGCCTCTGCTTCCTGTGGGTGTGCCTTTTCTTCATCAGGTATGCAGACACACCATCTATCCCCGTCGGAGGAACTGTTGGAGGAGACATGGCTCGGGGATTAAGAAGGTTTAGGCAAAGTTGCCGCTTGCTTAACTGAGCTGACAAAAATGTAAACACTATCCAAAATGAGATATTTTTTTTTTCGCGATCTCAGAAACCAGACCCTTTCACCCTTCTCCAAGCGCTTGCTCCAGGGCTTGACAGAAAAGCTCTAACTCTGACTGAGCACTGGGACAGCGTGTACCTCTCAACGGTGCTCCAGACCGGGAGAGAAACTCCAGCCGCCGTGGCAGCTAGAGAGAGATGGCGGGCTCCTGTGTGCTGTCGGTTCTCGGCGCCTGCCCAGACTCCCAACCCCAAGTTGCTGAACCCACGACTTATCTGTTGTCGATGCTGCTGTGGTAGCGGCACGGCGACAAAGAAGGAGACGACTGGGATGGTAAGCGAAAGATAAGAAGGACGGCTGCAATGCCAAAAGTGCAGGCGGCGGCGGCGGCGGCGGTGGCAGGTCTCTGAGGAGTTAGGCAGGCCTGTCCTTTGCAGCGCTAGTCGGTTTGGGCCAGCTGTGTAACCGCGTTCTTTGCGGATTAGGGAACCCGCCCCCTCTGAGCCCGCCTGTACCTCGGCCCCGCCCCCTGCCGTCTTGCCTTCCGCTCCGCGGGCTTCTGCGGGGAGGGTCAGCGAGCGTGCTTGCCTTGGGTCCTCACCGACCCAGGCTCTCTCTTTTATTTTCTCTTTCGCCCCCTACTGTTTCTCTCAGACCTCAGCCAGACAGACCGGCTCCCCTCCTCCTATTCTCTGGCTGCCAGCTGCCCAACAGCCTCCTTCGCAGAGGCTCCATCTGCTTTCTATCTTCCAGGAATTCATCACAACCCTGTTTAAAAAAATTTCAAAGCACACAGTGCGGGGGTGGGGGGGAGACACAGACACAGACTCAGAGACAAACAGGATTTTTATACAAAAATGTGCGTACAGATTATTTTCTTTCAGTTTAAGGAACTTGATATGAGAAAAGAAAAAGGCCGTGCTCAGTCCACCATCTTGATTCAAATTTTCCTTAATATTTTCTACCTGATCATTTTGTGTAACGATTTTTAATAATTATTTTGAATGAAAAAGAAATACATTGACATTCCAGAGATTTTTAAAAAATTTAGTGAACTAACCTTAATCTGAAATCATCTAGGCATACTAGAAAATGTTAACTCATGCTGATTTTTCCCTTGTCCATAGATTTGTGCTATAGCTTACATATTTGGGAGTGCATTTCATACTTACATAGCTTGCTTTTATCATTTATATCATTAGAATTTTTATAAATATTAAATACTCCACATCCATGATTTTTAATGGTTCCATATTGTTTGTAATATTTCTTTGATGGTCCGTTATTCATCTGAAATATTCTCTGTGAGAAGAAAAAAACTATTTTACCTTCATATATAAATTTATTGAGCTTCCTTAAAACGTGTTTTTAAGGAATATCTAATGACATGGAGATCTGAATATGAGATAATAATGTTTGAAAATTGAAATGTTGAAACAAAATGTGGCCACAATTTTGCAGAGAGACAAACAAGACCTTTTTTGTGTGTATTTATTATTTTTCTGATTGTGAGAGTTCTAATTGCTTATATAGAAAATCATAAATGTAGGAAACAAAGTGTCACAGGACTGCTATAAGGATTAAATAAGAATTTCCCAAAAACCTTTAACATTTTATTCCACTTATAAAATAGCAAAAAACCCCAACAACAACAACAACAACAACAAAAAAACCAGGAGGCTCTAGATCCTCTCATTCTCTACCCTTCACTGTTGAGAAGACCTCATATCACCTTGGCTAAAAAAGGGAAGTAATTCACCTGGAACTAAGGAAATCAGCAGATAGCTTCAAGGTAGCAGCACTAATTAATTGCCTCCACATTTTATTACCTTCTAAATCAGTGGCAGAATAGTCTAGTCCTCATACTGTTAAATAGCTGGTTGGGCAGAAAATGTGAGGATTCTCTAATTCCTCATTATTCCTAGGCCAAGGAGATTGGGGATGGAATAATTTTCCAATACTCACAAGGAAGAAAGAAAAAGAAACTATGTATCAAAAGCTATTTCTAAGCTTTTTAGAATGACATAGTGATGTATACATATTAACACAAGTAGGTGGCCTCCATATGCACATTCAGTCAAAAGGCATGTTTAAATGTCATGCCATTATGTTCCACAATTAATATACATCAAAATAATTCTGCAGACCAAGACTCACTAAGCTCTTTCAGTGTAAAAGAGCAGTTGGTAGGTGAAAGAAGATGACTACCTGGATGGGCATAAAAATTCAGGGTAAACAGTTGCTTTAGTCCCTTGTTACATACTTTGAAGGAATTCTTGCTTCTATTCTCACAGACAGAGGAGGCAAAATAATTTCTAATATACTTTCTTGTCCAAAATTATGATTCTGATGTTTAGATCACTCGCCAGCTATATGGATTTAAAGGGCATTATCACATTAATGTAAATATTTACCTTGTATGTCTCCTATAGTTAATATTCAAAGGTGTTTGTTAAATAAATAAATGTTTTCAGTTTCCCTGCTCCAATGCAAAAAGTCTTTCTCAATGAAAAAAGTAGTCTTCAACTCCTCCACCCCACCCTATTTACAAAGACTTTGTTTCCATTTTTTCCTTATGGGGAAAAAAAATAAGAACCAAGATATATCAAGTAAAGGTACAAATTCTCAATGATGAATGTCATCATATTGTACACCTAAAATGTAACAATAAACTTAATGAAAAAAAACCATAGTCTTAGAGAAGCCTCTGAAGAATATAGTCGCAGTGATCAGAACCTCCAACAGCAGTTTTGACCCTTCAAAAACACTTGTATCACTTATCCTGTAAGTACATTCATACATAAGTCTGAAAATGCTTAGGAGAACATATTGATGCAAAGTGGACCTGAGAAATTGATTATCAACCTGCAATATGTGAATAGTAAGAAAACCTACCTTTAGGGGTAGGTGTGAGAATTAAATCAGATAAATATACATAAATGTCTTAACACATGAACTGGCACCTGGTAAGTACTCAGTAGTCTTGTAACTAGTCATTGTCTGAAACAAGTCCTTTTTTCTTTTACATCTGTCTACAAACCCTCTGACTCATGTCTTACCTCTTAATCTTTGTTCTGTTTTACATTCAAATCCTCTTTGTTAGCACCTGAGTGTGGATCAAGAACCGTAGCAAGATTCTCTGCTATACAGCCAATTTCAAATCAGTCTTTTCAAATTTCGAGATTTCTGGAAGGCTGCTTTCTGGATAAATGGGGCATTATTGAAAATAATCTTCAGAGATACAGTGATAATTTATAACTGGAAGGATAGTGGAGGTAGACATAAATGCTTCTAATTCTAGTGTACAAACCAGATTATAATACATGCTGTGAAAAAAGTACACATTCAGCACTGGCCACCTAAAGGAATTTAGTGAGGATGTCATCAGAGACAACTTGAAAGGTTAGAATAAGAAAAGTAAGATGTTTGGAAAGTCACAGAGTAGTGCAATTTTTTCAGTCTGAGCTGAAAACAGCTGGAAGAAAGGCACAGAAAGATGCACGGATATAGGATATATGACAAATGGTCAGGAATTTTTGGCTGCAACACAGAATGTGCCAGGCTTAGAAATAGGGAGCATGGTTGGTGGTGGGGAGTAAAGTTAGTTAACATTCTCAAATGAGAGGCATTGATATACCATCCTATTCTGATAATGTAGTATTAGGAGGGCTAAGCAGAGGGTTATCGTCCATTTTCCACCTGATAGAAGCAGGTACTGTTCTGATTATCCTGGCAAATTAATATTGGTGATTCTGGCAGATAGTTGCTTTTCTGTCTGCCACCAGGCAGAAGCAAGTGGTGTCCTGGTGCCATGGCAATGTTAGTAAGTTCAAATGATGAGCTGTTCCTCCATATTTATCTGATGGTGTGAGGTATTAGTGATCATTATGTTACAGGTCTATCCCTATATCAACCTGGTAGCAATGAGACTGAACAAGGTAGAGTTGAAATAGGTCTATTTAACTGATACTCTTGTTCCCTATGGCCCTACTGTCAGTGAAAACCAGTGAGAAGATGAGTGTGACTCACTATCCACCATCAATGAAACTAAAAAATGGAAAACATGATGAGACTAGATGGTACCCAACTTTCTCTACAACTTTAGTATTAGTTAGGCCCAGTGGTTAGATGAGGCTCAACTCTTATTTTAAAGAAATGATGGGATGAGTCTGTACTCCACTTTCATCATGAAGGTGTCAGAAAACCTTAGAAGGAAGCTAATATATAAATTACCAGTTATAGTAAGAAGTCACATCATATAAAGAACAAGAGAAATCACAACTTGACAGAGAAAGTACAATTAACAAATATCACAACTGAAATGAATCAGATGTTGGAATTATTTGAAATGGATTTTTTAAGTAACCATAATAAAATATTTCTATATATATTATGAATTATTTTGAAACAAATGGAAAAAATAGAAAATCTCAGTAAATAAATGCAAAATATTTTTAAAAGAACTCAATAGAAAGTTTTTCAACTGAAAAATGAAATGACAAAAATTAAAATCTTGGGTTCGATCCCCGGTACCAAAAAAAAAAAGAAAAATTAAAATCTTTGGAGCTAAAATCAATATAAAACTGGAGATGAAAGAAGACAGAATCAGTAAACTTGAGGAGAGAAAATTGGAATTTACACTATGTGGACAATAGAGAAAAATATTCTGACAAAAATGAGAACAGTCACAGGAATTCTGAGAAGGTAAAACGTGAACATTTACAATTGTGTCAAAGAAATAAAATCTTAGGTAAAGATATGTCAAAATATGCACAGGATTTATGTCCTAAAATCCAAATGTTAATGGAACAAATTAAAGACCAAAAGAGATGCTTAAATATACTCTGCTTGTGAATTGGAAGACTCAAAGAGTAAAGATGTCAAGTCAGTTCTCTCCAAAATAATGTATAAGTTTAAAAAAACTTCTACGAAAACTAAAAAAATTGTTTTTCATAGGCATATACAAAGTTCTTAAATTATATGCAAACACACAATAACTTAAATGATTAAAATAATTTAAAAAAAATAAGTAGCTAAAAGAATCATTATACCTGATGTTAAGTTACTACATGGGTCCAATAACCAAAGAAGCGCAGTTTTTAGTCCAATGGAAAAACATGAGATATGCTAGAAATAGACTCATACAAGTGTGTCCAACTGGTTTTTGACAAAATTGCAAAAGCGATTTAATGGAGGAAAGCTAACTTTTTGGACAAATATCATTGGATTAATTGGACCCCTATAGAGAAAGAAATCTTAGACCTAAGTCTCATATATAAAAATTAACTGTAGATGGAAAATGACTAAAATGTAAAGCTATGAAACTTTTACAAACATCATAGGGGAAAATCTTTGGGATCTACTGCTAAATGAATAAAGTGTTCTCATTCCTGACACCAAAAGAAGGATGTTTAAAAGGAGCAATGGTAAATTGCTCTGTGAAAACCCTTTTAAGAGTATTAATACCCACTGAGAGAAAATATTTGCAAATCATATATACAAAAAGCTTTGTATTTTGAAAATATAAAAAATCTCAAAGCTCAAGAGTAAAATAGCCAATAATGCAATCAGAAAATAACAAAAGACTTTGTAAAAACTTTAC